CCCAGTATAAATTAAAAAGCTAAGATCTTAGAGAAATTCTAACAAAAATTAAGTAGCTATTAAATCATCCCAGTAACTTTACTATATTCCCCCTCCAGACAGTTCAGAAAACTGTGAACACATTAGTCTGTCACCAGCACAGCACAGTTGACTAATCTGTATGAACAGCTGTTACAACATGTATTGCCACACTGGGATTTCGTTCAGATTGGGTTTTTAAAATAATTGTAAGATTGAAATTAAACCTTTACACATTTCTGTGCTATTTATAATTGCTTTCTTAAAATGTTCTTAAGTTTGAATTTTTTGTGCAGAAATGCTTGTTATACAAAAACTGATTGTATATTTTGATGATTGATAGGCTTTTTGAGGTTAGTTTATATTAGGAATTCCCTCTTTACATTATTTCTCATGTGTTTATTTGATAGTTCTTGTGACCTTCGGTTATGTATCTTCAATAGAATGTGGTGAGCTCCTGAATGATTATACAAATTTTTCTGTGACTAGAATTTGGGTATTTAAAATTTAGGATATAAAGCCAATTTTGGTTACATAGGAGAAAGAGACAGTAGAACACAAATCTTTATAAGCTGACCTCATTTTGATCTGTCAGGTTTATGTCATATGTAGCAAAATAGTAAGTCATTTGAGAGCTCTGTTTTCTTCCTCTGTAAAACCGGAATGATATTTGTACTATTGTCTTCAGTTAGATAATCAAAGAACCAAAAGAAAAGGGCTATGTGCTTTGTGAGTTTAACCAACTTTCTAAAGAACTGCTTCTCCAAATCCACATATTCATCAAGAAATGTGCTGAGACATGTTATAAGACATCTATGAATAACATGTTCCAAAGATGACCAAGGACCATTCAATCTATTCACTTTCCTCTAGGAGCTTTTACTATACAAGTTTGTTAGCAAGTTTTCTAAAACATATGACGTTAGGAAAATGTATACTACATCCATAAGTACCAATAATACAAGACTTTAAAAATTGGCATCATGTACAAAACAAATTCCAAATGCTTTATTAACCTATTACTATCAAAGTATAAAACATTGTGTTTTAGTGCTCAATAGAAATAAAGTGAGATTCAAATATATTGAGTTGGTTATGTGAATTATAAATTAATTCATTGTTATTAGTACAGTATTAATTGACCTAAAGTAAAAGGGTAATAAAAATAAAAAAAAAAGCAAACGGCCAGCTGTCGTTCTTTTTGCGATAATCAAGATAGATTCAAGGCAGATTACTACCTGCTTTTAATCCAGTATTCTACTTTTAAGAATTTTCTCAGATTTTATAAAGGTAATTTCATATGCTGCTAACGGCATTCCACAAGCAATTATTATGATACAAAATAACTTAAGATTATTTCCGCTACATGATCTCTATTTAGGCCTGTGTTATTAGACCGACTGTAGATGCAGTAAGTACATCCCAGGCTTATGTTAACATTTGAAATGTATTCTTAGTGGAAAGAAATGCCATGAAGCTGTAACAGATGATTGAGGGAAGTGGCTTGACTTTGGAGTCTGGAGTGGGGGAAGAAGGATTGTGTTCAGGTAGCGAGTGGTAGCGGTTGAGGTGGACAGTTGAGTCTAGCCTTATCATTTCAAGCCCATTATTCCTATATGCTGTGCAGTACTTTTGTCTTAGTGTAGAAATTGTGTTGAAGACTGTATGGAATAGAAATTTTTCTGTCTTTTCCCATAATCTTGATGTGTAAATGGTATACGAGCTCCCTGGTTTTTTTTTTTGGGGGGGGGGGCAGGGCTCTTTTGTATAGTGGATGATGACCTTAGTAAACTTCTGTCTTTTCGACATTGTCAGTGTGTCCATTGCTGTTTTGACATCACTTGAATTGTATGATATTCCAGTAGATTGTGGTTTTATTGTTTAAGAATAAACAAAATACCTAGATGTGATAATTTGTATTACATTTCATGATCAAAACATTTTATTTTTCAAGTTAATGTTGAAGGCATTTAAATATTTAGATCAGACCCATTAACTATGCTTATATTAGTTATTTTAATAAGTTCTGTTTGTCTCTGTGAATCTCAGTCTTTTCCAGGGCCTCACATAATGTACACACACATGTTCTATTACTGCAATACATGCTACATAAAAATAATTTCTATGTTGACATTAATATTATATAGATGTCTTTGTGCTGTCACTAATTTAATTTTTAAAGTACACTAATGGAAAAGTAAACATGTAGATTTACAACTGTTGCACCTTTGTGCGGTCTTTATATTTATAACATTGATGCTTTATGTTTTATACATGCATTAATATCTTGACAACATTTACAAACAGTTGAGAGCCCCTCCTAGAGCTGCAGTTGGTACTGTTCTAAGTGAAGATTCTCTCCTTCGCTTGAGAAGCTTTTGCACATTTTTCAGTTGTAAATAATTCAATAATATAATTTCATATTTCATATTAAGTAAAGCACTCTAGTTCTAGACAATTTGAAAATCTGGTTTTCAGATTTTTGTTTTAAGTAAGGAAATATAGGCCTCCATAGTAAACTTGTTAATCTAAGTTGCTGTGCTGGACACCCATAGGAGTTTGCTAATCCGAAAGAAACAACAACTCATTTTTAATATTGCTTCATATTTACCAAATCCAAGCTCTAATAAATTAAAAATGTTGCTCTGCTTGATTGTGGTATTTTGCTTTATGCCAGAATTGTTTTAAATGCAATTACAGAAGTATCTTGGCTTCCAACCCTGAGCCTTTTTTTTTTGTACTACAGTGTGTTTAATAAAAATTAGTTTTCATTAAGGAAGAGTATTTTGATTATATAGTGAACAAATACTGTCTTATGAACAAATGGTGTGACTTCACTGATTAAAGTTCTTCCAAAAGATTGGATAGCAAGCAAACTACATGAAAGAATTGTGGTGCTCTTCTTAAAATGAGGCATCAGATTTCAGGTAAAAATCGTCAAAAATCACCATGCTAATACAAAAGTCATTCCGTGTGGCATTTGTTCATCTATTTTACCCTCCTGTATGAGGGGCACGGGTAATGAAGTGTACATTTGACTGTTGTTTGCCAGTTGGAAAGGCTCCAGAAACAAGGAGGCATTTGTACATGTGCAGATGCTGGCAGGGATCCCTTTTTCCTTGCTGTCAAAGACCATTTTATTTTCACAAAGATATGCTTGTGTCTGTTCTACAATATGGTGCGTGAATAACAGTGTATGGAGGTGGTTTTGTTTTACTTTCTACATGACTAAATAATGTAATTCCATATTCTTAGTAAATTTTTAGTGCTCCATTTTTGTCATATCAGGATCTTGATATATTCACATGTCTGAGAAATAGCTAGATCTGTTGTAGTCATTTGTCTAACCAAATGTCAAGGTCATGAGACATTTTAAATTGCCAGGGAAGCTGAAATGGTGTGTGGTTTGTGAATAGTCTTGCACTGTACGTTCCACATGAGTGATCTGTCACTTTTCTTAGTGCCCAAAAGAAATAAAAATATTGTTAAGGATTAAAAACATCATTTATCTCTAATTTCTAAGTAGCTATTGACTCTGCCCCCCAGAGTGAATCCATTAATTTACTATATTTAAGATCCATGGTATTTTTCAATGTAATTAATATTTTGTCATAATATACTTCGATTTGAAAGTAAAAGTTGTATATGCAAAGTATGACTGCTGTCTACTTATAAAGGAGCATAAGTGAGAACTAGGGATTACAGGTGAGGTTTAGTTCTAAAGATGTTTCTGTTCTAGCATAGGCATTTTAAAGTAAAGATAATCTGCTTGGACAATTAAAGATCTAGACAAAATTAGCATTTCTTCCCTCCCTCCCTCCCTCCCTTTCTTCCTTCCTAGGAGGACCACATCTCTGACTCTTTTAAATGTACATAGATTATTCAGGTTCCTGTAGTAGAAGTGGGTTTAGTCGTTTCTCTGGGGTGCTGTGAGGTTAGTTGTACTTACTGTCTTCTGGCTCACCTTCACTCCCCTGGAGCTCCTTTTGTTTTTTTCCTCCAGCTAAGAAACACAAGAGTGACACCAGCCTCTGACCTAGTAATTCTACTATGAAACTTATAACTCTTAGCATGCTCTTTTCCTCCAGTATTCATTCCTTAGAGACACATTTTAGCAGTAGAAAGTGTCTTCAGAGGTAGAGTGTTTGCTTGGCATGCACAGGACCTTGAGTTTGAGTCTCACCCAGCATGGGATTATGGGCAGATCTAGTTGACAATTAAGTTGAAAATGATCTATTTATGTTTATAAAAGCATTACTTTTGATTTAGAACTAGAATCTTCCCAGTAATTAAAGAGCCTGTTTGAAAACCTCACTAATGTGAAAAAGTAATTTTGTAGCTGGGGCAAGTGGGAAAGGGAAATAAGACTAATACAAGACCATAGATGCTCAGGATGGAGGTTGTGTTAACCAAGATCAGTTATTCTTCCCCATCTTGGATATTGTTAAAAGTTCAAGACTCCTTCCCAGCATTCTCTTGCCTGCTTCTGGATTGCTTAAGCCTCTAGGACTGTACAAACTGTAGTAACTAACACGGAACGGTTTGTTCAGTGTCTGGTCTTCTAAAATAAAAGCCTGTGGCTAAACAGAACCTCGAAAGTTCACCCTTATTGCCCGCTTAGCACAGTCCCAAATCAGCTAAATAATTACTGGTTCGTGTGTATTCAGAACTGTCCATTCAAAAGAAACCATTGACTGCTTGCATCTGTAGTATCGAAAGAAGTGTAAGTCTTTTTAGAATTGGTAATAAGACAGCATCTCATGCCTTATATTCTAAGATATTGAAAAGTAATACTTGACAGATTGCAAATAACAAAGTTTCTCACACTTTTCTTAGGTCCATAGTAATGCTCTGAGTTAGGAGGGAAAAATGGGGTTTATATGGATGGACTGTATCTAGTAAGACTCTCCTGAGGGCATCTGGGGAGACACTGAGGTAACTTCATCAGACTGCCTTATAATATTAAGATAATTCTCTTGTAGAGTTTTCCATCTGATGAAGGTTGGCCATTTGCAAAATATCTTGGAGCTTGTGGAAGAATGGTGGCTGTGAATTATGTTGGAGAAGAGCTGTGGAGTTACTTTAATGCGCCATGGGAGAAAAGAGTTGACCTTGCTTGGCAGTTAATGGAAATAGCAGAACAGCTTACAAACAATGACTTTGAATTTGCACTCTACCTCCTGGATGTCAGCTTTGACAATTTTGCGGTTGGTCCTCGAGATGGGAAGGTAATCATTGTGGATGCTGAAAATGTTTTAGTTGCTGACAAAAGATTAATTAGACAAAGTAAGTATTTAATTTTCAGATTTATCTTTTGTACATTTTCTGTGTTTAAATGTTATATTTATAATAAAAACTTAAGCTTCTTCTTGAGATAAAGTTTTAAATGTTATATTTATAATAAAAACTTAAGTTTCTTCTTGAGATAACAACCTTGTGTCTTTTTAAAATTTTTTTTGTATAATCAGGATGAACAAATATTTGTCTTTCTTCTAATTAGAATTTCTCTATATTTAGTAAAATGCCCGTGTTTTAATGAATGCAGATTCTCTCCCCACCCCTTGTAGAGTCTGTGGAAGTATGTGTACATGTATGCACATCTTTTGCATCCTCTGCTCTGTGGTTTAGGACACAACTTCTTACACTGGACTATGACCTCAGGGGTGGCAAACCAAATGTGCTGGTTGTGGAAACAAATACAGCAATAGTCAAATGATCCTAATTTGTGAAAGAAGCAAAAATTAATTCAAAAATCAAGTTCATAATGAATCTGAGGTAATTCTACCAGTGATTGTGTTGTATCATGTAATTTCACTGCAGCCTTGAACACTATTGTATATGCTGTGTAAAGTGCAGGGCACACTATCAGCCCTTACAGCTCCAGTCATTGCTACCTGCAATGCCTTGATACAGACTGGAGACTACTGTGTCTTATGAATTGCAAACAGTTCCTATAAACTATAGAAATGTTGGACCACAGAAAGCTTAATATTTCCCTATAGTCATTCCTTGGCATATAAATATCAAATTAGTATAGTTTTAGATTGTATTATGTTAGAATATTTGATATTAAAAATTACTGTTTGGTTTGCTGGTTTAAGTTTTCATTTGAAAAATCTGTTTTGGTGTGGGATTGAGACAAAATTGATAGCAGTTTCTGAAATGGCTCAAAACATAGTTCTGCTATTTTCTGATATGTATTTATACACAGTGGCACTCCCAGTATTGACTATTATTACAAATTCAAAATATCAGCTCTGAAAAATGTTGAGATGCTCTGTGTCCTGCAATATTTGATACTCAGTTGAGAGCTAATTCTTACATAAAAATAAACACACATTCATTTCATTAATGTGAAATTTTCCTTTCTTTAATAAACGGCACAGCTATATATCAAATAATTGTTTTAGAATAGTCTTTTATGGTTTCTTTTCAGTAAATGTTTGGTTTATATTCCTATACATTCAGAGTTGTATAGACATTTCTTGAGCAACAGGAGGTTGTGTATGGAAGAAGTTGCAAAGCCCTTGTTTAATGCCAAAGGAAGTTTATGCTGTTACAGCTCATCGGAGTGTCAGCTTTAGTGGAGACTTCATTTCTCTGTAGGGTCTCACAGGAATGTTCTGTTTTTGTTTTTTCCTTCTCTGGGGTCCTTATAGTGATAGTTTTGTCTTATTTTTAACTTGGATGATGTCTAGCACTGCAGATCTGACCTCAATCTAACGTTATGATTATTTCATCTCCGTCTAGACTTTTCTGTCCGTTTGTTTGTGAGCTCTCTGTGTGATTGCTAGGTAAAGTATAGGACATGTTTTGAAATTCAGATATCATAGGAATTTCAAGGTGTCAAAGATAAAGTCTGTATTCTAGAAGTAGGAGTACCCCAAGTTTGACGCCAGCTTAGGGTAGGATACTTGCTGAGTTAATGGCCATCCTAGGCTACAGTGAGATCTTTTCTCAACCAAATCCAAAACTTTCTTAGCTTACCTCAGCGCCTGAGCAGCTTTAGGTCACCGTCAGAGTTGTCAGGCTGTGGCTCCTGGCCCGCGTGGCTAAGCTGCTGCTGTGTAGTCACTGAGTTTTCTGTGGTCCTTACAGCCTTGCTTGGGGCTTTTTTTTTTTCCTTGACTCATTATGACTCCTTCCACAGGGAGTGATGCCCTAACTGTGGTCCTGCTCCCCTCTTCCTTTTCATATATTTGTGGCTGTCATGCTTTCCTTTTTAAAAAGTTGTGCCTGCTGGTGGTGGCACATGCCTTTCTTTAATCCCTGTACTCAGGGAGCAGAGGCAGATCTCTGAGTTCAGGACCAGCCTGCTCTACCGAGACAGGTAGGGCTACCTGGAGAAATCCTGTCTTGAAAAACCAAAATAAATAAATAACCTGATTTCTCCTAGCTAATGCCAACAGCTTCCTGTTGCTTAAGTGGATCTGATGGCCTCTTACTGTTCTGGTAGAATCCAGCTTTCTTACAGGGCACAGGCTATGTATGTGATTTGGCCCTACTCTGTCTGCTTTATTGTCTGTATCTGTCCATTACTCTCAGGAATAATGGACTTTTGTTTCCCTGGATGAACCTTTTGTTTCTGGGCTGAGTGCATTTTCTCTGCATAAGGGAGCTCGATGCTGTTCTGTACAGGCCAGCCACTTGCTCTTTAAGCCTTGACTTCACTAACAACATGCTTGCTATTGTGTTGTCATATGGTGTTAGTCTTCTGAATTTAAATCCAGGAGTTCAAGTCTAGTTCTAGTCACTTATTATTACCTATCCTGCCATCCAGTTAGAACCTTAAACTTTGCTTGCTTAGTCTTAATTTTTGTCTCAAATGTTTCTTTGGTTTGGCTTTCCTTTCTGAGCCTTCCTTAGTTGTTTTGGTAACTTTTTTTTAAAGTTACATTTATTGGTGTGTTTGTGGGTGTCTGTATGTGAGTGTGGGCATGCCATGATGCCTGTGTGGAGACAGAGGACAGCTTGTGAGACTCTGTTGTCTCCTTCCTTCATATGGGTCATCAGGTTTACCCATCTCACAGGCCTGCTGTGATCAGCCTAGTCCCTCCTGTCTTGAGAAAGTTACCTTTCTGAGCAGCAAATGATCATGCAAGTTACAGCTAGTCTTTTTCCCTTCACTTGTATCTGTTTCCTAGTACTTGTCTCCCATTCCAGCTGCAGTGCTGTTTCCTCAGCCAGGTGCACCAATGTCCCTGTGCTCATCCCTTTGCGGATGCTCAACGCTGTTTTCTCTCATCGCTTGACTGCTACCTTTTCAGATCGAAAACAGGTGTTCTTATGCAGCCTTCCAGTACTCCAGGCAGAAATCTAGATCTCTCCAGTCTTGTAGCTTTAGGTGATGCTTTGTGATCCTTTTTAGGTTAGAGAAAATCCTAGATGAACCTGAAAAATGGTCAGGGCCTTGTTTGATTCTTCTACCTGAGATCCCAATAAATGATGTTTTATGAATTAATATATTAACTAATGAATTTTTTGAGTTAATATATTGATTAACTCTCAAATGTTTTATGTATAAAAGTGTGGAACACATATGTGTTAATGGGATGTTCTATTTAGAGAACAATAATAAGTTGGTTTTCAGATAAATTTTCTGATTTTTCCTTCACAGATAAGCCTGAGAATTGGGACGTATGGTATGAAAGCAAGTTCGATGACTGTGACAAGGAGGCTTGCTTGTCATTTTCAAAAGAAATTCTTTGTGCTCGCGTTACTGTGGACCACAATTACTATGCTGTTTGTCAAAACCTCCTATCTAGACATGCCACCTGGCGCGGCACTTCTGGAGGACTCCTTCATGATCCACCAAGTGAAATTGCCAAAGATGGCCGCCTGGAGGCCTTGCTGGATGAGTGTGCCAACCCCAAGAAGCGCTATGGCCGATTCCAGGCTGCGAAAGAACTGCGTGGATATCTAGCACAATTAAGTCACAACGTGAGGTAGTAGATGGTGATTTTCTTTGCTGAAATAGCACTGGCAAACTTAACCACCAAAAGACTGTCTAGAAAAAACACAGTGTGGAAGAATTACACCAGAGGATGAGGACTTGTTCTGATAGATCTTACATTAACATCCATCAACATAAGACATTGCTCTACATCCAAGTTCACGTGATGCTTCTGTGACTCCGTTCTTCACTTTGGAGACGTGAGAACCATTGACTGCTTTCCCCGTCCCGTACCTGAGTGGATTGATGACATTGTTAAGCTATTGGAAAGGAGTCTGATAGTTACATGGCTTGTGTATCAAAGGGTACTTGGTACTTAGTTTGCGTGCGCTCATGATTTTGTGAATCTCTGGCATTTACTTTGAATGTCAAGTTAGATCGGCCTGTTTTATAGGCCACCTTTTCCTTCTGATGTGTAAAATTATTTTCCATTTTTAAAAAGTTTTACACACCCAGGTTACTATAGGTGTTCGCTTAGATTTTAATATAAGTAGTTTTCATTCAGTGCTATGCGGTACATACTTAACTGTTAGAGCAGGACTCCCAGGTTTACTGTTTTTACAGAGATCTTAGTATTTCATTATGTAAATAATTTACCTCCCCTCAACCTTCTGTACGTCATCATTGCATGAGATCATTTCAGGTTATTTAGGAGTTAAATCCCTCAATGCCAGTAATTCTAAGTATACACTGAACACGCCGTTCAGCATATGCTACAAAATGTCACCGCATCCTTTGCTAAAAGGCTTTAAGAAGAATACACTAGCCATCTACACTTCAATAACTTTGATTGAAGAAACAATAAAACTCAATGTTTTTAAATGCTAACTAGTCCAAGATAGTAATGCATATGCCAAAGAAATATTAGACACATTCCATGTTTAGATCTGAGAATTGATCAATTCTTAGCCCTCTTCAGTATTTTAGCTGTCACTATTAAATTAAAATCTGCCTGTTCTTTAATGTTGACAGTTGAGCTACTGCTTTAAAAAAATGTATAACTTAAAGAAGACCTTCTGCCATCGTATTCTTGGTAGGCTTTTCAAAATGAACACGGTAATCATTGTTAGAATTTAATTAGGTATCAGAACCTTTTACTTATTGATATACTAATAATTTTTTATAAAGCTTGTCTGCCCACTGTGATCTTTACCCAGTTGCTAAATATCAGAATATCAAATTTAAATACATGAGTAGAAAGATTAACAAAATAATGTGTAAAGTTTTTGTCTATTTAAAAACTGTTCTGTGTAAAAGTTGACTTTAAATAGCACAGGCAGTAGTTTTCCGTTTGAAATTGTTGCTTTTGTTTGCAGTAAAGTTTGGGGTAGTGTGCAGTAGTGGGTTCTGACTGACTTGCTGAAAACCGAAAGTGATTAAAACATGCACAACCAAAGCCAAGCTTGTCCTTTTTCTTCATTCAGCAACTATTTATTGATCATCCACCCTGTGCTAGGTGCGCTCGTAGCTGCTATATATCATCTAAACATGATGTGGGCGAGTGACTTCATCAGATGTACCAGCGAAAATACTTAAGCTGACTCATTATTTGGGGTGACACGTCCATGTTATTATTGTCGTGATGGAAAGTCTCTTTGCACCATCCTAAATTAGTACCTTAACCCAAAGTGGATGAAGACAGCAATAGAGTTAATCCACAGTTAAAAATGGGAAGGCAAAGGGTAAGAGAGCTCCATTACAAAGCATTGCATTGTGTTCTTTCTTATGCATCAGTAGATTGCATAGCTCTCAATGAAACACTGAAGATTTTGCTAAGCCAACTTTTTACAACTTGGAAACCTTTTTGAGGGGAATAGGAGAAATCGTCTCACAAGACTCCTTTGCTTCTTCCTTAGAGCTACACTAAAAATACAATTTCAAAACAGAACACCATTATATTTTCTACATATTCATAACATGGAGGCTGGAGCTCACAGGAGCCACCTGTGGTCCTACACACATCTTCCTATTTTTGGTGAGAGATTGCGGTTGTGATGACAGAGCAGGAAGTGAAGAAGCGCTCCTGGGAGTGATGGCTACTTCAGGTATAACCACCATTAGAGAGTATGTGGAATTTCTTTTATCTTTGGAGAAGACTGAGAAGATAGTAAAAGAATTAGGAATTTTAAATTACAGGGAAAAATATGTATGTGAAAAGCAATAAATATTTTGTTCTCTTTGCTATCAAGATGTTCACATTCAGATATTTATTATACAGCAGCAATTTATATTTTTAATCATTGCCCATTAATAGACGCGGTAAAATATTTTTGAATCAAACATTTGGGGTTTGTATGTGCATTTAAATTGTCTTTTGTACTGTACGTTACTGTTTAATTTGAATATTTTATCAGAACTGTCTCCCTGTGCCTTTATTAAAATATAAAGTTGTCTCTGCAACTTTTAATGATCTTAATAAAGAATACTTTAAGAACCATACTTTGCAGACTCTGTCTTCAAATATTCAAGTGTTTCTTGAATAAAAAATAGTTATTCCTGTCCCCTTACAAACACTTTTGTTTCAGTCTTTGGAAACTGTTTTAATTGGGTGTAAGCTGAGCTCAAAATGTATGTTCTGTTTTTCTGTAATAATGACCTTTTAAAACCTACCACTAAGATCTAGGGTGGCGGGGGGAGGGGGAAGCTTAGGAATTTTCAAATGCCCATAAGAGAATTATATAATGTTCATAGCTATTAAACTAACTTCTAAAGTTGTCAACATTGGGCTGGAGAGATGGCTCAGTGGTTAAGAGCATTGCCTGCTCTTCCAAAGGTCCTGAGTTCAATTCCCGGCAACCACATGGTGGCTCACAACCATCTGTAATGAGGTCTGGTGCCCTCTTCTGGCCTGCAGACATACACACAGACAGAATATTGTATACATAATAAATAAATAAATATAAAAATAAATAAATAAAGTTGTCAACATTACCAAACATTTCCTTGAAGCAAATTTAGCTTTGTTGTTTGATTCAGGAGTATACCTCAGGTGTGTTACCTTCCAACAAAGCGCACAGTATAACCAATCAAAAATGAACGAAATGCCTCAGTATTGCCAAAGCAGGAAGTTTTTCATAAATACTTCAACTACAAGAATTCTGAACCACAGGCTGAATAGATGGAACATCATCATGACCAAGTGAGAAGGTAGCCGAAGTGGACTGAGACACAGTCTAGATGTCAGTCTCTGAATTCAAGTGGTACTAAAGCAGCAGTCCACATTAGCACATCAGTTACGTCATCTTTGAGAGGATATTGAAGTTCTTGGGGAAACTCGTGGATAGAATAAAAAGAAGCACCCTGCCTTATCTCTGGAAAAATCTAATGATACCAGGAAATTTTGCAGAACATCTAGAATTCTAATTAAAAGAGTGTTAGCAAAAGGTTGAAATTCCTGATGTGTTAGCAAACCTACGTGGTGGTCATTTTGAAGCTATTTATTGAAAAGCTGATGGGGAACATACTCATGGATCAGGGTGGCTATTGGGCCTGCAGTCCAACCTTACGATGACAGGTCTGGTTAGACTCCATGGCAAGTGCCCAGTGACACCTATGTCAAAAACCAACCGGTAATGTGGAATCTGGCCACATCCCTAATCTGTCCATTAATAGAAAGTACATGTAACAGAGGAAAGTAATAAAAGGGTAGCATTGGGTATAGTCAGAATTCAAATTGTGAGTTCCAGACACAACATGGACGATTTTCTTCAAAAAGCTGTATGGAAAAACAATAGCATTAAAAGGTAAAGGAAATGCAAACATCAGCTCTGTTCTAAATTCTAAATTTAATGAAAATTTAAACAACAGAATGACACCTGGATAGCCTCATCAACTTCGCATTTCCACTTGAACATGTTGAAGCCCTAAAATACCTATTATGCTAATTTATGCTAAGCAAGCTGTAAATTACTAATATATAGTGTTAGCTGTAAGTCTAAGATTTGAACAAGAATGTTTTCCTTTTGTAAGATTACTTACCCATAGTTACAAAAGGTAGAAAAGCTGGGCCCAATTTTCTAACTGGTGTCTGACGGGCCCGGACAGTTTTTCCAATGTTCCCATGGTCTGCAGCTTTTAAGGGCTAGAAGCATATGGTGGGATGAAGATCATGTTGTAAAAGGACAAATCATGCATTTTCCCAATTATAAATTTGGGGAAGGGAGAATTTATAGTAACACATGGAGATAGAAGAGTAAGGTAACAAAGACGAAAAGGTAAAGGGAGAAGAGGATAGAAAATAAGAAAACTACCATTTCTTAAAGAAATGGTAGGGCTTTGTTCTCTTTGACCTCAAACCGTGAGACACCAGATTTCTAGGTAGGTAAATGCCCCAAGCATCCATTTACTAAGTCTGTCTTTAGGAGGCTGCCTTAGAATTTTACTTTCTTTCATGTCTTGCAGCTATAGGCTGTACCTTGACCCCTGAATACAAACAGTATAGACTTAAAGTCTGTCCCTTTAGGGTACACATCATTACAAATGCTACTTGTGTTTGTTATTTTGCTTTGTGCATTTTCTCATAATACTGAGAGATGAATAACCCAGTGGGAACTGCAGTTTCACTAAGGAACCCATTTCTCTTTGTATTCAAGGACTTTGGCTATTAGTCGTAGTTTCTTGGAAGATGCCTTCACCCATATTTTTAGGTTTTTTTTATTTTCAAGTTGTATTTTATGAGTGTTTTGCTTGTATGTGTGTATGGAATCAGTGTGCATGTCAGAAAAGCAGGTTGGATTCCCTGGAACTGGATTTACAGATAGTTGTGAGCCACCACGTGAGTACTGGGAACTGAACCTGGGTCCTCTGCAGGAGCAAGTGCTCTTAGCCAGTGGGTTGTCTCTCTAGTCCCACCATGCATCTTTAAGCTATCATATCTATGTGGTTATACTCAGTTATACTGTGGATGTGGGTTATCTCCATTTTGGAAGAATGACTTGTTAATGTGGGATGGGTAAAGAGTGAAGAAGGGTGATGAAAATATCTGCCCACAATTGTTTATTTCCTGAGATTTGCCTTATAACATGTGTTTCCCATTGTTTCAGTAACCATCCTTGAAGGATATCTTGTGGAGTTTTAAACAGTGCTCATATTTTCCTAGTAATACAGCAGATTTGGGTTGCTTTGATTTCCCCATTTTTGGTAGGAAACATTGTGGTTCTTGTGTAATTTTTTTTAAGGCACATTATTTTCAAATATTTTGATAAGTAGTATAAACTAAGGATCAGAAGTTGCAGGCAGTTTTGTCTTGGGAAAGCAGAGAAATCAATGTTGTAATTAGGAAGTAATTAGGCTTCGTGGGTAGTTTTTATCTTTCTCTGGCACTACTGGTTTTTAGTGAAAAATCCTTGGTGGTCTGGACCAGGGAGCTAGCTCAGTTAGTAAGGAGGTTGCCAGACAAGCATCAGAACGACACCGAATAACACCGAAGATTGTCCTGTGGCCTCCACACACATTCCCCAACCCCATACACGAATCTTGGCCTGCTGTTAAAAGTATAAATAGAAACCGCAAGCACTTGATACCCCTTTGTTCCCAAGGGAAAGATATCTCTCTGCCATTGAAAATACAACTTAAAAAAAGGTAGCATGCCACTGAACTGTGTAAGGCCATGCATGGAGAGTCTGATCCAGTTGTGACTTGGATAAGCTATTGAATGTCTGTCAGACAGGTACTCAGTCTGAAACTGTAGAATGCCTATTTGCCTCCGATTATGAGATTATTGGGCAGGGTTGGATGGTATATGGAAAAAGCCTTTGGAAGTGTAAAGTGCTACACATACGTTGTAGTCCCAAACAAGCATTGATGCTTTGCCCGAAGAGAAACGCAGAACATCACTCAGGATTCATGAACTGGCTTCTTGCTAGTTGCTGGCACTCAGCCACCTGTGGCTTCTACCTCCCAACTTTAGCCTGGGAGAGGCTTTCAGCAAATTCTTCTTTTTAGAATGCCCCCCTGTGGTTCACAGGAAATGGCCAAAGCTATTATTTAGTATGAAGATTCCAAGTTTGCAACTCCTTGTACTTCACAGGATGTTCACAGCCAGCTATGGGGGAAAATGTGCGGTGGAGGGGACATATTTGATGAGTAAGTAGTTCAAAACTCCCATATGGAACTAACTTGCCCGTTTTTATTGAAATATCCAAATCAATGTAAAAGATCTACAATGATGGTCTTTGGCTTCTGGTTGCCAGACTGTGGATTCATTTAGGATCATCTTTAGTGAAGAAATAACTTAATAAGTTGATACAGCAATCTCTATTCATGGTGGGATACTTAACACTTAAGTTTGTCTGGTACATGGGATGCACACCTGTAATCCAGCACTCATGAGGTCAAGAAAGGAAATGAAAAGTTTCAGGCTAATCTAGGCTGTTACAGAGTGAAACCCTGCACACCCCCTCCCCCCCAAAAAAACAGGTTAAATACTATAGGAAACTAGTAACTGTGACTTAAGGATTAGGGGTTTCTAAAAGAAACGGTAAAAAATATAACTAAATATGCAAACTCATCAAAATCAGATCCATACTGTTGCCATGCTCCTCCCTGAGAAAGCAAAGCAAATACAGAGGAGAATGAGTGAGGCTGAGTTCTCTTGGTGTGGCCGGGTCTTCAGTGAGGAAGTAGGGAAGTGTTGGCAGGTGAGGAGAAACACCTGGGTGGATCTAGAGACAGGGGTGCCTCTTCCCCTTTTACCTTCTCCTGTGCCTGTGCCACAGTTTTTAATATCTGCTGTAGCAACACAGGTGGGAGTCAGGCTATGGACCACAGTGAAACCCTCTTCTAAGTCACTGTAAACTATTTATGCATCAAAACATGCCGTGTTTTGCTTAGCCATTTGTCGAATCACATTCCACATTCATTAAACAGGCTGCTTGAAATATCCTTCCGCAAACAGCCCGTCCATGGATGAGTACCATGTAAGAAGTCGAACTGCCAATCCAGAGGCCCTTACCACTTGTTCTTCTAGTTAGCATCCAAACTGTCCTGTGGAGATCTTCATCTCACTTAAACTGCCCCCCCAATAGTAAATGAAAGTGGGCTTCTTACTCTCCAAAACTAGATTAACCTTTACTGAATGACCTTTAATTTTTACTGCTATTAATGCATAAAAATCTTTTATCTGTGCTTTTTTTTTTTTTTTTTTTTTTTTTTTTGCAATGTCTTAATAGCTAGTCTGTGAGGCTTGAGAAAACAATAGCCCTTTACCTTCCTGTGTGATTTAGAATAAGAGATAGATGCAAGAATTGAGAGGGAGGAGGGGGGACTTCTCTCAGCCTGTTGACAAAGATGTGACAATGGCTTTCCCAATGCAACACATTAGCATCAACTGTCACTTATTGCAGGCTGGGGTTGGAAAACCAGAGTTCCTTTGTCAGTACGTGCTCGGAGCTCCCCTTGGGTCACACAGACAGGGAAGCTGATGGTTGGTGATTCATGAG